GCTAAGATTTTTTTCCTGCAAGAAGCCAACAGCACTGAAGTTGGAAAGAAGGCCAGGGACTGTCCCCAGGAGGACTGAAGATGAGTTCTTTTCACGGTGAGCACTGCTTAGCCCTTCTGCAGCCCTTAGCTTGGTGCCTGCTCCAGCTGCTGGGTCAGCTTCAAGGTGAACTCAGCAGAGGTTGCTCTTGACTGTTTGAAGGTAGAACCAGCCTTCCTTTCCCTTTGTTAAAAGAAGGTCAAAGGCACTGTGGTCAGGAAGCGCAGTCTGCAGCCCGGAAGCTTGCTGTGAGCGCGCACCGCGGACGGGGTCCCAAGCCCACCAGCCGCTCCTGATAAGGTTGCTCACATCACAGCCACCGCATCGCCAACCTGTACCTTCCTTGGAAGATTCAAATATGTTCGATTGCAAATGAATGTTTTTAAATGTATTTAATGCAATTCTTCCTGTTCTCAACATGACCACCCAAGATTCAAACACAGAGATTTCTAAGTTGTTATTTTTTCAGACCATTATTGATTTAAAAACCTGTCACAAGTGGCACTTGGGTTTTGTGCAGCTATCGGTGTGCTAAATGTGAGAACATCCTTGGTTGGCATTTGAAACACAAAACACTATAAAGTTGGTATTTCCAAATACCAGGTAAATATAAAGAAACCAATAATGAATTGCTGAGACAATCTTGAACCCAGATAGCATCAGAAAGCTAACGGCCCAATGAAATAATACTTTCACACTTAAACTCTGTGGATAAATCTTGCCTGTGGCTATAAACAGATGGTCAAAGAAAAAGTGCTTTACTATAATTAACTTTTCTGATTTGAATGAAGGAAAATGTATTTATTAAAACAAAGCTGTTTGCTGCTCTACACAGGTGCAGTGTTCAGTCAGCAAGGAAGTGGGAGGAATGGGGCGTGATCTTTGTGTCTTCACCCAAGTTCTTAACTAAGCTTCTCGCTCTCTCTAATACTGCATTCTGTTTCTCCTTTTGTGCCCTGATTGTAACCCAAAATTTATGAACTAGAAAAGAATGTCCAATTTAATAAGTTGCATTTTTTTCCTTGAGCACTTTATGCAGAACAATACATGTTCTTCTGGTAGTGTTTGGATAATATGATTTTAACACATGCTAATAAAAGCCAAGAAAGATCATGGCAACTTCTATAAAGGAGTCTGTTTTCCAAATGTCTAGAACATTAGGAAATATTAGAAGATAATGTGTACTGGCTTCTGCAACCTGTGATTTTTGGTCAATAAGAAACCAGAAAGTGACTTTGCATTTCAGAGGGGGTGGCTGGTGCCTGAGGGTCACTACCGTTTCCAAGGGCCTCTGCAGCAGTCTGGGGCCCCTTCCTCCTGGCCGCCTCACGGCCGGCAGACCATCTACAGGCGGCCTCTCCCAACCCCCGGGTCTCCTCAGTGTTGCGTCCACCCTCCATCTACTCATCCCCTTCGTATGCCCCACCTCCGCTGCCACCTGGACTTGGGCCCACAGTTTAGCAACTGAGCCGCTGCTGTCCCTCTGCAAGGGTCCACAGGTACTTCACTCACTGTGTGCTGCCTTCTCTTCCTTGTCTCTAAATGTAGAGATGCACCTCCTATCTCTTAGTCTCACTAAAAATAGAGAGAAAGCCAAGGACCCCTGCCCCAGAGCATGGGGGGAAGACAGTGAGGTGATTGGCTGGAGAGGGAATTCCCCTGTCACAGGGGAAACTTGGAATTGAGACCTGAGAAAGGAGGGGAAGAAAGGGAGACTGGCCCCAGGTCCTGATGGAGAGCCACCAGAGAGCGATCCCAACATCTTGCCAATGGGTATGCACACAATGGGCATGCGTGGTCCCATCACCAGGGGGCCCTGGTCTCCACTTCCATGCAGCTTGACTCACCACCCCCTCCACCCCTCTCCCCACGCTCCACCCGCCAGTCGCCAGTGCCTGCACACCATGCCTTATGCAGTGGGCTGCAGAAGCAATGCACCTGAGAAGAGCAGTTTCCCGGGAGCTCACTGCCCCTTTAAAGAGCTTCAGGTCAGAGGAATGGAGTTCTCAGGAGAAAGCCAGCAAATGAGAAGGAAATCCCTGACATTTGCCTCATGATATAGAAAACCACAGCCTCTTTTTTGCTCAGTCGGAGAGGAGAGGTTATGCCTGGGCTTAGTGAATGTACAAATAAACCAAAGAGCAAACCGGTAACAGGGAATGGCTGTGCATGTTAACATTCATGGGGTGATAATAGTTACTTTTTACTGAAAACCTGTATCCCTCAAGGACACAACCATGGAGGGGCAGCAAAACCAGGCAATTTAGTGAAAGCTGGAGGCAACAACCTGGGTCCATGAGGAGCTCTCAGTTTTTAAAATTAGGGTTTAGCCAAAATCAGAAACCAAGAAAAATGGGGGAAGGGAGCGTCAATATCAGATGAACCCTGGTTCCAAATGTAACCCCAGGCATTGCTTCATGAACACCGTGACTTAGGAAGGACGCAGGGGGCGGGGCCGGCAGCGCCACAGGACGGAGTGGCTTGGATTGAAAGCCGACCTTTACCTGCCTCCAAGTCAGTCTGCCTGCAAGTGTCACATCCCGTCCGGTTGCACCGTTTTCAAGTTCACAGTTACCAAGTTAAGCTCTAAAATTGTTTTAATTTATAAAGTAGGTTTATTATCAGGGAAACACTGTCCTGTGTAACTCAGCGTCCCCTGAGATGACACATCAGAGTGTAAAAACTGATACCCACTTATTTTGTAAAATCTTTGAAATAGCCAAAAAAATTATAAAGTGTATATGTTTTATATACTGTTTAATAAGGCAGGAAACTGTATATTTTATTGTTCATGAAAGATAGCTAGACTAAAAAAGTTTTGGTGCTCAGAAGAGTAAGATCCAATTCTAGAGGTTTCTTTAGGCGTAGCAGATGCAAATGCACTGACATTTCATTTTTGGGCCTCGCCCTGGGTCCCGTGCTCTGGAGGCAGCACATCCGTCTCAATCCACATCCTCAGGGAAGGGAATCACCTCGGTGGGGCCCACTGCTCATTCTTCCTCGCGGTCTGTGGGACGACAGATACTCTGTGGGATTTCTGAAACAGCCCTGTCCCACGCACCATCCACAAAGAAAAAGGAAAAGAGGATCTAACTACAACACAGACAATAAAGTTAGGGGTCAGGGTCAAAGGGACAGCAACGAGAGATGAGATCCTGATATATGTTTCAGTGACTAGAAATTAAAGAATTAGAAGAATGGGTAACATTTGTTGAGCACTTAATATGTATCAGGCACGAGGCTAAGAACTTGACATCTTTTGTCTCCTCCTGTCTTCACAACAGCCCTATGAGGAAGATTATTATTACAGAGGTATTATGAGGCTATAGCGGGTCTGTCATTATCTCCATTTCACAGATGAGGAAACTGAGGCCCCAAAAAGGTAAATAACTTTCCAGGGGCTATTCAGCTGGTAAATAGTAGAGCCAGGATTCAAACCCAGGATTCCCTGTCTCCAGTGTCCTTGCCCCCTGCCCCTTAGTAGAAAAAGTGCTGGGTAAGTTGAAAACACACTCTGCTCCTGACAACTGAGAAATCTTGGCACGTCAGATAAATGGGCAGAACATCAACACCCCTAGGAGGCTGCTTCAGTCATGCCCGTAGGAGGCTGCGCACTTACTCCCCCAATGTGATCTGGGCTCAGACCCTTCTGAAACTGTCCCCTGTGCTCATCACCACCTCAGGCCCAAAAGCCAGCCTCATGATCTCCCAGCACTCTCCCCACGTGCCCCATGAGTATTCCCCAGCCACTTCACTCTCCTTGTTCCTCAGTCTGGGATTTGAGTCAGACCTACTTGTTTCCAGTCACCCGTCCGAAAAGGATGAACATGTCCCATGACCCTGGGGACATAAGGAAATGAATGCATCGTGGGCTCTCTGAGGGCGGGTACTCAAAGGAAAGCTGACCCTGGCAGGGCCACCATCACCAAAGTGAGAGCTCCTCCTGGCAGGGGGCATGGCTTTGAAGAACTACAGCAAGCCCCTGGATTGTAAACTTCATACTTCCCAGGATCTCTCATTCAACTCCCTAAATCCCTTGCACCCCTAGCCAGCCCCTCAGCTGGCAGTGGCAAGAATGAAACAAGGGCCCGCATCCGTCCAGCCTTACCTTGCCCTCGGAACACCTAGGCTTACTTGTCTGAGTTCAGATCTTGAGAAAACCGTGAACATATCAAACATTTAGGCAAATATATTGGTTAAAACTCAAGCATTTGGGCGCCCACAGCAATAGTTTTTACTACTATCTGGGCCCCCAGTTAGTACTGTTTCAGATCCGCATGCAGCCTTTTCCCAAGAATCCCCTCCCACACACACATCCTTCGCTTTACCCAGGATATCCACCCTCTGGCCCCGTCCGCTTCACCTCAGGCTCAAACCAGAAACGCAGACCTCCGCAGGAGGAGGAGGGCCAGGCCTGGCGTCTCCCACCTGTGGGACGGTAAGTCACGTGCGCTCAGGGCTCCTTAGGTTTCTCACCCAAACTGAAAGGTAATGACCCAGCATGATTTCCCCAAAATGTGGGGCCTGAGGATATGAGGGTGACGGCAGGCTCCAGGCAGAGGGCCCTTCTGTGTCACCCTCTGCTCAGCGACCCCACCAAGGGCTCCGCGTGGGAGGGGATGATATCTGGCCTCTGGCTTTGATGAAGGCTTCCAGTAGGTTAAATTTTCCCCGTGATAGCCACAGGAAAATGCCAAGTAACTTTGCAACGAAAACATGGCTTCAAAGTAAGAATGCAGCCAAAAAAGAAAATGTAATGAGATTTAAAAACAGCACTGTTAACTCTATGAAAAGACAACACCGATCAGGACTGCTACTGAAGTTATATAATGGCTCCTGTTTTGTGAGCAGGACGTTATGAGATTGAAAACTTGGTCACCACATAGCTATTAGCAGTCTCTCTCCTCCACCCCGTACTCACTAAAGATTTAATAAAGACCAAACCTGTCTTGATGACTTACCCAGAGGGGCTTCTGGAACTTGTTCTGAAAACTTAAAGCCGGGGAAGAGCAGAGCCAGTTCTCGGCGGGCGTCTCCTCCGTCCTGGCTTCCATGGACCGCATTGAAGGGCATTTCTGTGCCGTACTGAGCGCGGAGACTGGGAGCATTGGCAAAATGTACAAGACACAATTGTTTCATTTGAAAAGAAATGTTTTGCTCTCTGGCAACATGGTCAGCAGCTACCAATCAGCACCCTGCATTTCTGTGAAATGGCTTTCTCCCTGTTGGAAATGCCAAGAACAACAGCCAGGACGATACTAGCTGACATCTAGCTGACATCTATCCCGTCGCGGCAGCATTCTGGGCCCATTGCCGGGCGCTTCACATACATGCCCTCATTTCATTTGTGCCACAGCCCCGGGGGGGGAGACTGTCATGAGCCCCCCTTTTAAAATGGCGTGAGGCATGGTGTAAACCCAGGAGCTGCCATTTTATTGATATTACAACCACAGGCTGGCGGCCTGCCAAGGCTTCACACAGGTTTGCATAGTTAGTGCCCCCATCAGCTAATGTTGACATTGCTAGGACTTCCTGTGTGTCGGGCACTGTCCTAAGCGCTTCAGACATATACATCCTCTCATTTAACCCTCCACCAACATCTGAGGCAGGTCCCACTCTAGTACTCATTTTTCAGAGGAGGAGATTGAGGCAGAGATTAAAGCATGGCCCAAGGTCACACAGAGGAAGGAGAGAGATTCTGAAATGTCTCTTCACCATGACACTCTATGGCCTCCCATGATAGATGCTCATACCCCCATTTTACAGATGAGAGAACGGAGGCTTGGAGAAGGGGTTGCCTAAGTGTGTGGTAACCTAGGACCTGAGCACCGGGCTGTCTTCACTAGCCCAGGCTGCCTTATATATGAATGTCCCTGGCCCCTTCAGCTACAGAGTACAACTCAGTTACTTAGCCTCTTGCTGATTTCTTTTCCTGTTGGCCGGGCCTCTCAGCTTTAAGGGAAAGACACAGTGGCTTTGGCCTTGGTGGTGCCAGGCTAGAAACAGGGGCGAGGCACAGACTCAGGCAGCCTCGCGCAGTACGCAGAACAGTGTGCTTACGCTCACGACACCCAGGGTGGAGAGTAGGGGCAGGGGGGTTGAGTCTAAATGCCTATGCCTAGGCCCCACCCAGAGTCTGGCTTGTCAGGCCTGGGTGGGGCCCTGGAATCTGTATTTCCTGAGTAAGTGTTCCGGTGGTCCTGAGACCACACTATGGGACCCTCTGGCTGCAGAGAGAACAGTGAGGACTGGGTCCAGCCTTCAGAAGAGGGCAGAGGAGGCAGCAAAGGGGCAGGCCACAGGAGGTACTTGGCGAAGGGCTGGGGACTGGATCAGAGGGTGAGGCTGTCAGGGTCTCCCCAAATATATGACAAGGAGGGGGTTTGTAGCCATCAGAGAGCCCTCTGTGTTACCCGCGATTCTGGGCTGAGCATCAAGTTAGGCTCTCAGCTTCCTTGGATGCGGGTTCTGAGACGGATGAAATGGCCCCAGCTAGTGACATCACCTGTCAGGTTGCTCCCTCCTTGCCACGTCGGGGTCACAGGGTCCCATGAGGGTTCGCCAGGCAGTGACAACATCCTCGGTGCCCTCAGTCCTGGTGAGGATCAGGAGGTGGCTCGGGCCACTGCACATGTAATGTACCAGCATTTCAAATGCCTCCTGGAAACAGGGAGGGGAAACAGAGACCCAGGGCAGGGACCCTGGGCCTGCAGAGGGTTAGCGGGGCCCACACCACCCATGCGGCGGGAGAGGGGGATCAGTGAGCAAGCCTGCCACCAGCGGGCATGCCCACCGCAGAGGGTGGCTGGGAAGGGTGATGTTGATACCCCACCACACCGAGAGAAACCAAGTGTAAGCTAAAGGCAGGAAGATGAGATTTTGAATTGACTCATTTGGGGTTGAATATTGGGATTATAATAAATTGGGTAGGGGCATTAAAAAGACCACATACACAAAAAAAATCATGTGGATGCTGGATAATTAAGGGGCAGGGTGTAGATGAGACTTTATTCATTTAGTTTTTGGCGGTACCTTGTAATCCTTCCCCCTTCTTCAAAGAACAGCACTCTGGTCTTCCTTTGGGGAACAGCCCTCCCCCACGACTCGGTCCTAGTCTGGCTGACAACCATAACATGCACCCACACCCCCACACCTCCCATACACACACATCACCTGAGGGGGGCAGCTGCAACCTAAGCCAGGGCAACCAGAACCCCCCTCCCAGGTGGGTGAGTCAAGTAGACACAAAGGGAGAGTGGCTGAACCTGAGTCTCCAACAGCAGCACCTAAAGTGACTTCCATGAGGTTTTGCTCCTGAGGTCCCTACAATTGTCTTGGTTTTTCTTCTCCCCAGAACATCCTTGCTCATCTCCTTCTTTTCTGGGAGTCACGGAGTAATATCAATAAATTCCTTATTTCATTGCTTAAGGTAGAATCAACATCTCTTCCTGCAACCAAAGAACTTTTAGCTGATACAGCCTAGAATCGTTCTGAGAGCCAATTCACAGCTGTTCATATTCTTGTTCTTCATAATACTCTATTTCTCCCAAACTAGTATCAACCTATAAACATACTCAAAAGACAAAGGAACAAGAGTGTATCGGACACCTAGAAGCAGGGGAGCTGACCTCTCCGGCTCTGCGTTGGTAGAAGAGTCGCATTTCTGCCTCTGTCATGGTTCTCTCTTCACTTGTTAAAATGTCAAACCCAGCTTCCTGGATCTGCAGAATATATATACACAAATTCCAAAAGGGTAAATCAAGCTCAAATGTACTTTTAAATGTGCTGAAAAGGAAAAAAAAATCATGGAAAAAGCAACATTAAAAGCAGTGGAAACCCTCATCTTCAGCATATCTTTCCTGATTAGATTTAAAAATTTTTAATTTACTGAAATTTTGGTTTAAGCTCCTTAAAAGCTTTCTTTACCCACTAAGAAGGACACCAGTGCACAATGCCCCATCCCTGTCTTTCTACCAGAGAAGACTTGGGGACAGTCTGCAGGGCAAGTGTTGTCTCTCTTACCTTCATAATAATCTCATCAGTCTTTCCGTGGACCACTGCATCTGGTTTAATGATTGCCAAGGTACAGGTCTTCTCTGATGAAACTGCAGTAAGACAAGAATGGTGCTTCGGATGCTGGGCTCACAGCGCCCATCTCTGAGGCTCTCAGGAAGCCACCTGCAGGGGCCACACAGCCTCTGCACACAGCTCCTGGGGTTCCCTCGCTGGGCCTCCTGGCTGTGCCCCTGAAGACCTGGACTTGAGTGGAAGTCCACTCCACTCCACTTCCACTCAAGTCCAGGTCTGGCTCCAGACCTCAACTTCAACCTGGCTGCAAGGGACAAGGACATGCAAAGGACCCAAACCTTGGAGGGAGGGAGGGCGTGGGGAAAGAAGGAGGGAAAGGGTGGCCAGGAGATCAAAGATTTCCCAGAAACAGAAACCCAGAAACAGCTGAAAGAGTCAGCCTGTGGGGTGGGGAGGGGGGAGCAGGAGCAAAAGCAAGGCAGGCCTGGCTATTCTGTTGCTTCCTGTCACCCTCTCATGATTCTTGACCTCTAACTGCTGTTTACTGTGTTCTCCTCTCACTCTACTGGCTCCTTTGCCAAAGCTTCTGTTTGACTTTCCTGGCATATGGCCAATGATGGCTGCCCTAGGCCCTGAGTCAACTCAGTCAACCTAGGCCCTGAGTGACTTTTCAGTGCCAGCACATATGACCAGATTGCAACTCCAGTCTTCTCTGTCTCAGATCAAATTCCCCTGAGAGAAGACCATATCAGCCAGCTCATTGCTTGGAGCCAAGACACCAGTCATAGCTCACTGGCCAGTCTCTTGACTGGGTGTCCTTTAGTCAGTGTCCTCAGGTTCCATTGGCTCAGGTCAGGTGCTGAGGGAGATGCCGCATAATCACTGTCCACTGCTCCAGCCCACACAAGCTGGAGGGGGCCGGTGTCCAGTCCATGAGTCCGTCCATGTTGTACCTGTTTATATGAACTTGGCCTTGGTGAGCAACTTGCCCTCTCCACAGACTCTGTAGCCCCCTGTCCAACTTTTGTTCACAACTTTTACATTAATTGTGTTGCAATGAAACTTGACAATATCTGAAAATCTCAAAAACATGTAGTGCAAAGAAGTGAGTTACTTTAAGCAACAACTTCATTTTCCTGTGAGTACTATTTATAACATCCTATGAGTGCTCAGACTTTAGGTTTCTTAACAATAAATGTCCTTATAAATTGACCAATGAATGAGATCAGCTTGGAGGTGTATGGTGAGAGGAGAATTGGCCAGAGAAGGGGCCTGGAGGACTCCAGCTTGAAAAGGGAGCAAAAGGAAAGAAGCGCGTATGAAGGGGAGGCTGAGGAGAAGCCAGAGACATAGGAGGAAAATGAGAAAGGTTGCGACACCTCAGAAACCAAGAGAGAAGAGGGTTTTGAGAAGGAAGGCATGGTGAACATCATCCAAATCTGCAGAATATGCAATAGAATATGACTGGGCCCAGACTGGTGTAGATCAGTGGGTTGGGCATCGTCCCGCAAACCAAAAGGTTGCCACTTCGACTCCCCATTAGGGCGCATGCCTGGGTTGCTGGCCAAGTCCCTGGTTGGGGCCATGTGAGAGGCAACGAATTGATGTTTCTCTCACACATTGATGTTTTTCACCCTCTCTTTCTCCCTCCCTTCCCCTTTCTCTAAAAATAGATAAATTACATGTTTAAAAACACAAAAAAGCATGACTGGAAACTGTCCCTTGGCTTTGACATAAAGAAGGCCCAGGGGCCCTGGTGGGGACCCGCTGAGGGAGGAGCAAGCTCAGAGGCCAGATGGGCAGGTTGAGACAGCAGCAGAAGCGGGGGTGGCCTGAGGAGTGTGGACAAAGTTCGGGAAGCGCAGCGTGGCGGAGAGCGGGGCAAAGGGCAAGAGCGGGGTGTTGAGTCTTTTTCTAGGAGGAGAAACTTGGTTTGAGAGGAAATAATGAGGGGAGGGGGCAGAAACAGGAGACAATCCAAAAAGGAGGCAACAAGTATTCCCTACAAAAGCCAAATTGATGATTTTTCTTTGCACACTTGAACTTTCTTATTCTCCTAGACTGGGCCTCTTTCCTTGCTAGAACCCAGCTGAAACTGCCCTCATTATCCACACACAAAGAACAGCCTTTCCACTTCATGCAGTAATCAAAATCCTCCTTCTTTTTCCAGCTCGGTTGCTGGACTTAGTCCTGGTTTCCTCTGGAGCCTTGCTGACTTTCCCTCTTTCCCAGCCACAGCCTTGCTCACTTCTGGCTTCTCCTCACACTCTCAGGTCAAGTTCTTCTCATAGCGGAGGTCCAGGGGGAGCTGCCACGCATGCCCAGCAGTGCTGAATCGTGAGCTGATACGTGGGGAGTAAGAGGTAGAGGGCACAGGGCTGGGGGAAGGGAAGGTGTTCAGTACAGCTGACTCCTGACACTTTAGAAAAAAGGTGAAAAAAGAAACTCGGTCTCTTCAGCTCAAATAAGGACTAAGGAAATACCACATCATTAATTTACAGTATTAGTGTTATTATTCACCATTTTATTAAATGGCACTTTTCCTGATGCCCAGCAATTGCCATGAAAGTCACACTTATATATGAACATGATGGGAAAGCTGCAATGAGTGCCCAAGATGCCATTAAAGGTCAGAATGAAGATCTGACATGATGTTTGAAGTCAGGTGACTGGAGACCAAATGCTTTATGGTTAATCTTCCCACAGTTCAGATGGATTGATGAACTGACTGCTCACAGTTTTTTAAAACATCAAATCTGAGTCTGCTTTGTCTTTTTGCCTTGCTTGCTGGTTCTGCACTCACCCGCACCCTCATCTTCACCATCGTCCTTTTCGTGGGAAAAATGTTCATCTTCCTCAGAAAGCGCCTCATCTTTAATCTAATACAAATTGGTCATCAACAGAAGGTAGTTAGTGCTAATTAAAAGGACCACAATACTTTCCTAAAGAACCCCCCCCCCCAAAAAATGAAGGTTCAAAACACAGAGCAAGAAAGGGGGTCAAGATTATCAGTCTTGGAAACTATGAGATCCTTTTTCAGTAGTTGTACGAAGGGAGGTAGGGGGAGAGAGGGTTTGAAGACAAGGAAATCCTTGCTGATCTTAAAGTTTAGATTCTGCCTGTTTTCACAAGCACAGATACAAATACAGAGTTGGCAAGAGGACAAAGGAGGAATTGAAATGCAAGTAAATATTAAGCGGTGGACTTCACAGTGCAGGGAAGTAGTACAAAGAGAGCTCGTTTCCCCGGAGGAGGCACTAGCATTTGTGATCGTCTTTCCTGGGGGAAAATTGCCAGTTTTCTGGGGGGGAAAGTATGATTGGATTCTAATCCATTCTATAAAAACAAGGCTTTGTTATTTGGAATTGAATATGAGACCTTGAACAATGAACATTGAACATTAAAGCTCCTTTGGCAGATGCTCAAAGCACCAGGAAATACCTCTCTCTCCCTAAGGTGTGCTGTTTGTCAAAGCCGATTATTTATGAAAAACTCAGTCTACGTTATCATGAAAATAATGTATCAATACCACAAGTTATGGCCCACCCCATTTCTCATGGTGGTGACAGAGCTAATGTCTAAATTCAAGACGTGAGGCTCGGGGATCACTCGTAAAACTTTCAGGAATGTGAGGTGAGGGTGGCAGGTTCACAGGGATAGATTTCACCCTGAGACTGGACTCTGCCTACCCACTTCTCGATTTCATAACTTTATTTTCATTTCTGAGTTCATTGTCAGTGATCCAGAAACCCCTGTGACAAGTTGAAGTGGGGGAGGAAAGGGAAACGGATAAAAGAAGCTAAAGTGTTTTAGAAGAAGGGGATGGCTTTTTAAAGAAGGCCTCAAAATGCACATGTCATAGCGCTCTCCCTGAACCTCAGCGAGGTCTCTGTGGGCGTCTAGTGAAGCTTCCAGCTGAAAGCTCCAGGAAAATGAGTGGAGAAGGGGCGGGAATGGCTGACCTTGAGCACACCCAGGAACTTGCTGTCTGCAAAAGTGACCTCCTTACCGCTTTCCGTTCTCTGCCTTCGGCCAACACCTTCTGTTCGGCCTCCAGCTGGTCTAGGATGGTTTTCTGCAGCAGTGGGGCGTTTGCTCCTCTAACCACAGCCACCAGTTTTCCTCCCTGGAATAGGACGAATGTGCTGCTCACACCACATGAAGCCCTCTTCCCAGATACTAATCTCTTTAAGAGGCAGCACAAGTGTCCAAGCACTTTGTTTAGGAGGGTGCCCAAGGTCAGGGGCCATCGACCCCAGGCCCACAGCCTCCATCCACTTCTCTGCCTTTTACCCCATGCCCCTCCTTTCAAAATTTCCTTCAGGGCAATGGGGAGTTAGCTCAGGAGGGGCCAGCGCCACAGAGGATGTGAGTTGCCTATACATGGCCCGTTCACTCAACAAAAATACCTATTAAACACTTACTCTGCCAGGCACTGAGACCGAGGCAAAGAATATGAACCCTAAACATGAAAAGACATAGTCATGCCCTCAGTGAACGGGGAGCCAAGTAGGGGCAGAAAGGTGATCGTGCCAAACAAATGATTACAATGAAATAAGATCATTGCTTTAATAGGGGATGTACAGGATGCTTGGAATTCGGGGCAAGACTCGATTCCCGGCATCTGAACGGTCAGGGGACACCGCTCGGTGGAGGTAGTATTTGGAGTGAACCTGAGTTTCCTGCTTTCTCTTGTTCAGCAGTCACTATGCATATTGCTCACAGGAGTAATCTGGGGAGGGAGAAGTTCACGTGGTGTGGGTCCTCCTCCACTTCCATCCACCCCTCAGCGGAGCACCACAGGGCGAGACCCTGTAATGTTGCCCGCTGGCTACACACAGGGTCCAATGCAGCTGACTATGAAGGTGCTTCCATCACTGTGGGCTCAAGCAAGCGGGCCACTGAGGTGGTGATCCCTTTTCTGCAAATGCACCCTGCTGTCAGTTTGGCTGCGGCGCATGTTCACCTCAGCTCCTTCCCTCTTCTCCCTCCCACCCGACTCGTGTTTCATCACGTAGCTTCAGTCTCCTGGATCAAACTCAAGACTCAAGGAATGTTTTATTGTAAGTTCCCAATCTGTAACCCTTGCAGGGCTGAGGGCAGGGGCCCAAAGGTTTCCAAACCCAAAAAACCTGGCCCAGCTGCCGGGAGGCCTCGGGAGATAGACCTCAGTTTCCCTGATGTACGATGAGGGGGCTGGACTGGGTCAGGAGGAAGGTCAATCGGTTGCCTTCAGGGCCTGACAGGTGACCTAAACATAAGAAGTCAGGTGTGACAGTGGGCCCTGAGGCTGTGGAGCGGGGATGTCACACCCAAAGACATCCAAATTATCTTCAATACACTGAACAGTCTTTCTCATTTCCATAAACGACCTTCACATTTTATGATTAAATAACAGTGAATGCAGAGCTTGTCCACCCCGTAAAGGAGTATTTGTGTTTGCGGTAAGATCTGCCCTATGGAGCAGAGGACAGAACGCTTCAAACTCTGCTCTGAGAGTGAAGCCTCAGCCAAGGGTGTTCATGAGCCAGAAGGAGCATTTCAGTGACTCCTGTCCTTTCCCCCCGTCTATCAGTCAAGAAGCTGCCCAGCTCAGAGGGACCCCTCCCTGCCCGGCCAGTGAACAATGCCCTCAGGCCACCGTGCCATGACTTTAAGACATGGTCCTTAACCAAAATAATAAAGACAGTCAAGGAGAAAACTTGTTTGCATCACTGGCCCCTTGGTGACTCCCAAGTCACCAGTAAGGCCAGTAAGACTCATCCGTCTGAACTCTAATGATACACAACTATCATAGCGTCCTGGTTCTGAAAATGTACTTACTGCATAAAACAGAAAGGTTGGCTCACACTTCCCGCGGTATTTTTCCAGGACATCAAGACAGTCTGCCTCTGCCTAAAGAAAACAAGCTGTCAGCAGGACCCTGTGCACAGCTGGGACAGGGGCGTGATAGCAGGAGAACCGCACAGGACAACCCACACACTCAGACCACCCGCGCCATGCATCACACACACACACCCTCACACACACACACCACACCGCATGTCACATTCATGCAACCACACATCACATACATGCACAAAACTACCCATACCACACCACCCAATACACATAACTGCCCTCCCCAGATGAAGCTCTGACTTGCTTTCATGCTTCTCTAACTATTTTTTCATCAGAATCATAACAACTGTCCTGTCAATATATTGGCAAAAATTGTTGGCAATATACTTTTTTGAGGAACGAAAGGAGAGGGAAACAGTGGTTCCTCTGCTCCCCACCCAGCCTCTCCTCCTGCACAAGGAAGCTCACTGTCTAAATCCTGCTGCTGCTATGACTGGCAGCCTCAGGGGCGGGTCGCCCTCCAACTGCCTTCGGTGCCTGAGAAACCCTGTACGTGGGCACAACAGCTCGGTCCAGGCATTTCCTCCACACACCCTGCAGGAGCGTCAAAACGGACTCCCCAGGGAGGGAGGAAGGGCAAAGTCCTTGAGGTCAAAGTTGTTGGGAAATTAGCATAAGATATATTTTCTCCTGTGTTCAGTCTATTATGCGCCCCAAACCCCTGGAGTGTGTCTTGCACACTTCTCTGGAATTTACTCCCATTTCCATACATGAATCCGAGTAAATGTTTGCTAAAAGTTCCCCTGTATGGAGCAGAGGGTAGAAATCTTGAAACCCTGTGCTCTGAAAGTGAAACTTCAGAGGTCACAGTGTTTGTGAGCCAGGAAGGAGTGCGCACATTGGAGTGGCACGTCCTCCGTCCCTGCATACAGCGTCCAGACTGCCCGGGCCCAGACGGACTGTCAGTGAGGTGGGGGCGGGGGAGCAATCTTCAACCCCAGACAAACCGTGAGGCATCCTGACTGATAAGAAATCCACAGCTGATGCCTTTTCAATAATCTGAAAAAGGGAACTCACCCTTCCTCTTCCTGTTTTTAAATGTTTAATTCTTTTTAAAAAAAATATTTTATTTATTTATTTTTAGAGAGAGGGCAAGAGAGGAAGAAACAGAGGGAGAGAAACATCAATGTGCAAGAGAAACAGATCTGTTGCCTCTCGCAGATTAGTGGCCTTTCACACAACCCCCAACTGGGGAACCTGGCCCACAACCCAGGCATGTTCCCTGACTAGGAATCGGACAGGTGACCCTTCAGTTTGCAGGCTGGCACTCAATCCCCTGAGCCACACCAGCCAGGGCTAAATGTTTAATTCTTATTACAATGTTGTATAACAGTCTGCTAAGAGAGGATCTTACCAATGCAAAGTGCAGAAGGTCCAGGCCCACTTCGATCCTCATCTTCTGGAACAGGCTCACCACAGGTTTGCAGGGGCTGCACCAGCCTTGATAGACATCAACAACTGCACAGAACCGAGAAGCAGGAAGGTTCAGTGAGCACCGGCGTCTGCCATGTCAGGCAAAACTTACACCCGCACATTCTGCCTCCCTCAGATAGATGTCTGTTTGCAGGGATATTAATGGTTGTAGGGATTTATTACCCCATCAGAGCATGGGCAAGCATGGAAACACAGCTATCCCTCCTTCTTAGCAACGCAGTAGTCTGAATTCTAAACATAATGAAGTAGGGTGGGAAATCATTTACTTAACACGAACCCTTTACCATAATGAGTAGCCCTCAATAAATATTTGAATTGTACTGAAACGTGTTCTTAAAGGAAGAAGTCACTGTAGGTGACCTGTCAGCATACTATCAATTCTTAGCTACTTTGGTAGTAAACACAGTTTACTATCCTTTTCCCCTGTGAATTAAAAGTGATTTGCTTTGGGTAAAGGAGAGTTATATTTACTTTGTAAAATCAACATTGTTCTCCTGGAAAGTGAACCTGATAGAGACCTCGGTGGAATCCTGATGCCATCATCTTCCTCAGTCTAGACTGTGGCGTGTGCCAGGGGTGAGTATGAGGGAAACTGTCTTCCACTGCACTCGACCACGTGACCTCTCATCCCACAGTACTGACTAGTGTCCTGATCAGAACTTTCCAACAGATATTCAAGCCAGTTCTATATATACAAAGAAATCACCTGGCTCTTTACTTATGAAACTTAAGATTATAGGAAAATGGTGGTCATTATAGGTTTTCTCTTCATAGTAAATCTGTCATTTAGCAATTTTGAAAAGGAAGGATCTCAATAATTATCTTAAATTACCAGTTAGTCCTTTGAAACTGAGCATTTCCTCCCAAAGCTCCTGGGTGCTGATGTTGACCTAACATCAAAGAGGAACAAATACTGTATTACTGAGGGCATTGATGGGTAGAGACTTTGGTATATTTGCTCCATGTTCATACTCTCTCTCTCCCTCTCCGCTCCCCCCGACCCCAAAAGAAATAGTTAAAAATACAAGTCAGGCTGCCCTCTTTTCCCAGTCTCCTTTTCTCTTTCCCTGTCTTCCTGACTCCTCCTCCAGGAATAACCACTATCCAAAGAAAATCTCAGGCATTTCTAAGAAAATAATTTTTACTTGTTACTTATCCAAAAGCAATATTTAAAATTGTTTTGTGCCTGTTAGTGTAAATAAATAGCAACTTACTGTGGATATTTTTTACAATTTGTGTTTTCATTCAACACTAAGTTTTGACATTTCTATTTATGCATAGAGTGGTACTCATGTGTTATTTCTTTGTCTTCTTATACATTTTATTGAGATATAAATTATGCGCAGTGAAATATACAGAGCTGAAGTGTTATAGTTCAGTGACCTTGGGCAAACGCAGACACCCGTGTGGACACACCCCCACCACAATACAGCCCACTTCCATCACCCCAGAACGTCTCCTCAGGTCTCCTCCCAGTCCCTCCCCACCCCCCATCCCAGGTAAACACTGATCTGCTTTCTACCACAACAGATTCATTCGGCCTATTCTAACACTTCATATAAATAAAATAATACACTTTTTGTGCTAGCTACTTTCATCAGCATATTTTTGGGATTCATTGGTGTAGCTGTGTATAAGTAGTTTGTTCATTTTTATTCCCGAGCATATTCCATTGTATGGCTGTATCATAATTTACTTCATAGATATTTAGGTTGCTTCCAGTTTGGACTATTATGAATAAAAACTTATGAACATCCTTGTTAAATCTTACTGTGGTCATGTTTTCCTTTCTCTTTGGCAAGTAAATACCTAAGAGTGGAATTGCTGGAACATAGGGTAAATGTATGTTCAGTTTAATAAGAAACTTCCAGTGTTTTCCTAAAGTGGTTATACCATTGTAAACTTCCACCAGCAAAGGTTAAGAGTTCTGGATGTTCCACATTCACACCAAAATTTGGAGATGTATCTCTTTTTAATTTTAGCCACAATAACGGTAATATAGTGGTATCTCATTGTGGCTTTAATTGCATTTCCCTGGTGACTAATAGTGTTGAACACTATTTAATGTACTAGTCAGTCATTTGTTTATCTCCTTTGAGAAGTGCCCATTGGTCTGTCCATTTCCTTTACTGGATCATTGGCTTTTTTATTAAATTACAGAGGGTTTCTTAATATATTTTAAGTAAAAATTCTCTGTCAAGATATAAATATTATAAATGTTTTCTCTAAGTCTGTGGTTTTCCTATTCATTTCCTTAACAGTGTCTTTTGTTGAACAAAAGTTTTTAATATTGAGGAAGTCTAATTTATGAAATTTATTTTTATGGTTAGGGCTTTCTATGGCTTTCTAAAAAAAATCTTTCCTCAAAGTCACAAAGATGCTCTCCTATTTTCTTTTAAAAGCTTTATAACTTAAATTTTTATATTTAAGTCTGTGATCCATCTGAAATTAATTTCTGTGTATGTTGCAAGGGAAGAATTGTGGTTAATTTTTTTTCCATGTAGACATACAGTTATTTCTGCAAAATTTGTTGAGAAGATTTATTTCCTAACTATACTGTTTTGGTACTTTTGTTGAAAACCAATTAACAGCATAAGCATAGATTTATTTTGGAGTCAGTTCTCTTTCATAGACCTATTTGTCTATTCTTATGCCAATACCATACTATTCTGATTACTGTAGCTTTACAATAAGTCTTGGAATCAGGCAGCGTGAAGCCTCCATATTTTTTCTTTTTCAAGATTGTATTGGCTATCCTAGGTCCTTTGCATTTCCACAAACATTTTACAACCAGCATGGCAATTTCTACAAAAACTCCTACAGAGATTTTAATTGAGATCGCATTGATTCTATGGCTCAATTTAGGAAACAATTGAAATATTATTAACATGAGTCTTCCAGTCCATGAATATGATGTTTCTCATTATTTATTAAATCTTCCAAAATTTTCTCAGCAATTGGTTGGAATTACTTGGCGCCAGTTGGATTGTTTGAAATTGGTTGGATTGGTTGGATTGGTTGGAGCTGGTGTATACATTTTGCACATCTTTTAAAAAATATATCCAAGCATCCATATCAGAAATAATTGACAGTTGAATTTATTGCCATTTCTTCACATTTTTCTCTAATCTACAAAGTATTCTGGTTTACATCAAAAATTAAATGCAAGGGGAAATACATACTATCCTTCTTTATAAATAGTATATATTTTGTATAATGTTTTTATTTTGAAATAATGTCAAACTTACAGAAAATTTGCAAGTACAATATAAAGAACTTTTTCTCTTGAATTATTTGAAAGTAAACTACCAACCTAATGTTCCATTATCCCTCAATACATTTACATAACCACAATACAACCATCAAAATCAGAAAATAAACACATATATTATTACTGTCTAATTCTTAGACTCCATTCAAGTTTTACTTATCCTCCCAATAAAGCCCTGGTAGCAGAAGTTCTAATCAGAATCATGTGCCAGATTTGTCAGGTCTCTTTAGTCTCTTTTAGTCTGAAATAAATAGTTCTTTAGCCTTTCTTTGATTATTCATGAACTTGACACTTTTAAAGACTGCATACTGGTTATTTTGTAGAATGTTCCTCAGTTTGAGTGTGTCTAATGTTTCCTCCTGATTACAGTCAGGTTGTGCATCTTTAGATTGGTTGGTGCTTTTGGAATTAGTTGGGTTAGTTGGAACCGACTGGAGCTGGTAGGATTGGTTGACGCTGGTAGGATTGGTTAGAACTGGCTGGAATTGGTTGGAACTGGTGAAATTGGTTGGAACTGGTTGGAGTGTCAGAGAAGCAGAAGAGTGTTCACCCTACCAGGTGACACTCAATTTCCATCTGCCTCATTGTTGCTGATGTTTACTTTGACACTTGATTAAGGTGGCCTGTTAGGCTCCTCCACTGTGAAATTATTCTCTTTCCCTTTGTAATTGGTAGTTTTTATGCTGGGCCCACAACTACAGTCCTGAGGAAAGTGATAGAAGGGTTCCGAAGAGCCCCCAGCCACATCCCCACCCTGTCTCTTCTAACAGTCGCTTTCAGAGGCTCAGCAGTCAGTCAGTGGCAACTCTCTGCGAAGCACCCCTGTGAGGGAGTGAGCCACACCAGCAGCGGGCCAAGACTCTTTGGACAGTTGAAGAATCTCCCTCCTAGGAGCAGGGCAGGAGCACAACACTATAGGGAACACCCAGACTCCACTAAGCCCTCCCGACATTTGGTAGGGAATGAATGGGAAACGTGTGGCACCTTCCAACTACACTGTCTCTGGATGTCCTGTCATTCCCATCTCAGCCACAGAAGGAACCCTAAATAGTCTTGCCCAGAGAGAGAACAGGGTTCCTCGGTTGGCAGACCGAAGAGCATTGCTTTCAAGGTGTTGACCAGGTGGAGAAGCAACGCGCCTGAGCAGATGTGTCAGGGCACACTCTCGCCCCTCTCCCCTTGCTCAGCAGATGGAGTGCTTACTCTGAATACCGCATTCAACTCAAGAGCTCTGGGGAAAAACATGAAAAAAAATTGCTAAAAAATGTTATTAGCCCCAAAGGGGATATAGGGATATAGGCACATGAAAAGATAATCACACAAAGCAAAAATCTTAGAGCCACCTCAGACAGTAATCAGACCAGCCTGGAAATGTCCAAAGAAGTTTTGTCACAATAGCTCTCTCTGCATGTTATGGATTATTCCCCCCTTTCTGTTTACATAAAGGATATAGAGGCACAGAGAGGTTGAGGAAATTGTTTGTGCAGCAGTAAGTGCTAGGAACAAGTGCTTAGAATTTATTTACAGATAGAATATACACAGATGGCAAGTTTCCTAATTCTAGACCATTAAGGCTGGAAGTCCCTGAGGGATAATTCCCCCAAGATCCTCATTCTACAGATAGGCAGTCAGGTGGTTTATCCAAAGTTCCAGAGTTGGCTAAGAGTCAAGAACTACATCAAGTCTTTAGGCTTCCAGTCTGACATTGCTTTTTCCTTTTTTTTTTTTTTTTTTTTTTTTTTTTTAAATCACTAGGCCTTTGAAACTCACATGCAAAGTGCAGGTGCCTCTGAGAACAATGAAAGTGAAGTTATGTGTCTCCACACCCTGCCTCCCTACTCTCCATGGAGTAGCCTGAGCATTTATCCTGACGGACAGAGCTGACTATGAGACATTTTTGAAGTTTGTTATGAGACATTTAAAATGCACCTATATTGCAGATCATCCAGATGATCCCTTACAACAAAGCACCCCCTCCCAATTCCACAGACCATGCCTGCATGTTTTTACCATCATCTTAGAATCACCCACAACTTATTTTCCAGGGCCAGGAAAAAAAAAGAGCAGATGCTGGCTGTGGATTCACTTGTCCTAGAGGCAAATGAAGTGAAGTACTTTATATGACCAACGCACAGCCCATAAAATATCAAAACATACTGTTGAATAAGCAAATGGTTGAATAGATCAGTCATGGGAGAACTGGGTCTCTGGAGAGCACACAGTTACAGAGTCATGCCCAATTCAAAAGAATGTATATCATATTCTTGCATCAAGTTGCAATTATATTTCAACAAAAAATACATCATATCGAATTATAGTGATCAACATTTTCTTGGTTTTATACTTTTCATTCATGTTAGAGCTTCAAGGCTGCATAAGCACTATAAACATAAAGAGCTTAAACCGAATGTTATGTTTGCATTTCAGTGCACAAAAAATTGTCATCACTTGGAGTTCGAGATCTATATTCACGTTTGAGAACATATCTGTCATACACTGCTGACAAACAGAATGTCCCTTCTATTCACTTTCCGCTCCACACCATCCTCCTCATCCTCCAACTCCAATCAAGTGCTGGAAACATGCGCCCCTTGGGACTTACCTGCAGGGCAATTTCCTTTTTCTTGCTGCCCATGGCTCTGCAAAGATAGAAGCCCTGTTACTGATGGCTCAGGCCTGCCCCCTAGGCAGATTGACTACAAACGCTGTCGGGATCAGCAAACCTACTTTAGACAAAGAGCCCTACCCCGGCCCCCACGCCCTTTAAGGTAAATATAAATAGCAGCAAATAACTGCACCGATATAAAATGAACACCCCACAGTGGAAGTGGAACCTGCAGCCCGCGCGGCTCTCGTGGCTTGCGGGGGCTGGGATGCGTTTACTGCGGATTTGTAAAATCCTTCTTAGCTGCGGAGCCCACCGAGCGGCGCGCGCGGCGCCTGCCGAAGAATTTGGGTGAAAAAAGGGCCACAGACCACTGTTTTTCCTACTGTTAAGTGTATTCCTGGGACATTGAACTACCGCGAACGCTCTCTCGACAGGTACGAAGTCTTCAAAGTGCTACGGGAGTTTCCAACCCAGCCCTCAGCGACCAAGCCACGGTCGTCATGGCAACGCAGCCCCGCGTGAAGTGTGCCAGGTAATAAACATTCGTTCATGTAAGCCACGCCCACTCTGTAAGCCACGCCCACTCCACTCTGGGCCCAGTGCAATGGCAGGTGGGAGTCCCACCCCCTGCCCTCAGAATTGGACTAAAGGAACGCTCTCATTGGCTGAAATGTTTGTCAGTATCTGGGGTATCTGGGCCCACCAAGCAGAGATCCCGCGCACCTATGTATACACAGTTGCGTCCCTGAATCCGTGAATTCCTGCATCCCTCCTGCTCCATAAGGGCTGGTGTGCATTTTTTTTTTTTATCAGTTACTTAGTGCATGCCAGGCAAGGTGGCTTTGGTTTTTAAGGGGTTCCCTTTAACACAGAGAATACAAAATTACAAATTCAAAATTAGGTATAAAAGTCAAGTGAAACAAATAGAAAACAGTTACAAACATGGTGTGGATAGTCTACACAAATTAAAACATAGAGATTGTCAGTGGATAAAAACTAGTCCCAACTGTGTGTTGTCTGTAAGAAATCCACTTTAAATATAGAGACACAGATAAGTTGAAAGTAAAGGGGTGGGGAAAGCTTGCCATGCTAACACTAATCAAAAGAAAGCTGGAATAGCTACAGTAATTCAATCAAAGCAGAAAATGTATCAAGGATGAGGAGAATGCATTTCATAATATTAAAGGGGTCAGTTCTTAAAGAAGACATAGCAATACTTAATGTGTATGCACTTAACAAATCATCAAAACACATGAGGTAAAACCTGATTGAACTGCAAGGAAAAACAAGTAAACCCACTACTATAATTGAAGACTTCACACCACTTTTTTTTAGTAGTGAATAGATCCAGCAAGCAGATAATGAGCAAGGATATAATTGAATTGAGCAACAACATCAATAAACTTGATCTAATTCACATTTAAGCAATACTTCATCCAACAACAGCAAAATACAGATTCTTCTCAAGTCACACAGAACATTCACCAAGTAAGACCACATTCTAGGTCATAAAACGTGTCTTAATAAGTTTAAAAAAAGTGAAAATAATACAGAGTATGTTCTCAGGCCACAATAGAATTAAACTAGAAATCAACAACAGCTGATAAAAGAAACAAAAGATTTAAATAAATGGAGAAAGATTCCATGTTTGTGGACAAGAAGAATTAATATTGTCAAAATGTTAATTCTTCTCACTGTGATTATAGATTAAAAACAATTTCAGTCAAAATCTCAACAAGCTATTTTGTGGAAATCAACAAACTGATTCTAGAGTTTATATGAAATGGTAAGAGACACAGAATAGACAACATGATGCTGAAGAAGGATAAGAAAGTTGGAAAACTCACATTAAGAGGCCTCAAGACATTCTATAAAGCTACAATAAACAAGACAGTATGATATTAGTGAAAGAATAGATACATAGATGAATGGAACAGAAAAGAGAGTCCGAAAATAGACCTATACGAATATAGTTAACTTGGCTTTGACAAAGGGACAGAGAAAAGTCAGTGGAAAAAGGAAAACCTTTTCAAAAAATGATGCTGGAATAATTGAACATAGATATGCTAAAAATAAATAAATCTAGACACAGGCTTTATGTCTTTCGCAAAAATTAACTCAAAATGGATCATAGATCCATAAATGTAAAATACCAAAGTATAAAAGTTCTAGGAAAAAACATAGGAGAAAAATCTAAACAATCCTTGGGTTTGACAATGACTTTTTAAACATAACATCAAATAATGATCCATGAAAAAAAAATTAGTTGTATCTTATTAAAATTAAAAACTTGTGTTTTGCAAAAGACTTAAGAGAATGAAAAGACAAGCCATAGGCTGGGAGCAATATTTGCAAAACACGTATCTGATAAAGGACTTCTATCCAAAATATACAAAACTCAACAAAATAAAACCAACAACCCAATTTAAAAATGATCAAAAGACCTGAACAGATACTTCAACAAAGAAGATATACAGATGAGAAGTAAACAAATGAAAAAGATGTTTTTTTTGTCTCTAGGGAATTTGAAATTAAAACAATAACGATATATTTCTACATATCTATTAGAATGTCGAATATCCCCAAAACTGACGATGTTAAATGCTGGTAAAGACACAGAGCAGCAGGCACGCTCATTTATTGTTGGTGGGAATGCAAAATGGTACAGCCACTGCGGAAGGCAGTTTGGCAGTTTCTTACGAAGCTAAACAGTTTTACCATATGATCCAGTGGTCTTACTCCGGCATCTTTACCCAGTTGATTTGAAAACTTATGTGTACATGAAAACCTGCATGTAAATATTTATAGAAGCTTTATTTATAACCACCAAAAATTGGAAGTAATCAAGATGTCCTTCAACAGGTCAATGAATGATTGAACTGTGGCACATCCATATAATAATGTCTGTAAGATACAGCATTGCAAAGTGGGTCTACGAGATGCAGTGGTGTTTGTTGCCACACCGTAGTGGTATGGTGGTGGTTACTCAAGCTCTTGAATGGTCTGAAATTTCTCTTTGAATTTAGTTCCCCAAATAAAATTTAAACCCGGTACTAAACTCCTCCTGTCAGCACACTACAAGGTAGAAACTTCTTAGTCTTTTTGAAAGGGTTCGATTTATCACCACACAGCGTCTACTATAAAATGTAGCCATATCTTTCCCGGACTAAACCACAGAAACAAAGTTAGGGGAGACATATGTCCCCACTTTGCCAGGGACAACCTAAGTTTGCACCTGTTGTCCTATGCAATTATTAATAGTAATGTTTTTTACTTTAATTTTTTAAAAAAATATTTTATTTATTTATTTTTAGAAAGAGGGAAGGGAGGGAGAAATAGAGGGAGAGAAACATCGATGTGAGTGAGGAACATTGATAGGTTGCCTCTTGTACATGGCCCGACCAGGGACTGAACCAGCAACCCAGGCATGTGCCCTGACCTTTCACTTCGTGGGACGGTGCCCAACCAGCTGGGCCACACCAGTCAGGGCATCCTTTTTACTTACAAAAGTGTACCATTTAGACAATACAGCAGCACCTCTTCCATTTGTCCCCAGCTTTCTACATCTTGATTTAATGAAATTTCCATTCTTTTACATATTTTATGATATAGGTCAGTGATTTGATCACTTTGCTCAAATGTCAGATATCTTTTTTGAAGACATCTGCTTTAATTCGGTCTGCCCTATGGGAGGTCCTTTTTTTGTTCTTAGTTTTGCTTTTGGAATCTAAAAGACTGGAAAAACAAAACCTTATTCTTTATCCTGCAAGTCACATTCATTGCCACAAGGTGGTGATTTACTCAAGGGAAACCTTTCTATGAGCCACACTGGACACCAGGAACATTTTCTTTTCCTGTTTTGCTCTCAGTAGTCTTTATTTTACTTTTGTACTTTGGTTTTAGGAAGAATGTACCAAGAATGCTTTCATCTCCCCCTTCTAATGTGTTTTTGTTATTGTCTCTTACAGACACTCACTGGCCCACCTCATGGTGCCTGCAGGAGCCCCCTGTGTGGGCGCCGACCCTCCTGTCTCCCTTGCTTCCCCCGCTGCCTCCCCAGGCTCCACTCAGAGCCCCTGGAGGGTGGGTTCCTATTCTGGGCACTGGAGCCTGTGCCCTGGGGGAAGAGCACAGCTTCCTGAGCAGCTGAGGTTTCTTGCAAGAAACTGGGTGTCCTGAAGTCTGGAGAGTACCCCTCGAGTTCACGTGCCCTCATTGTGTGTGCTGGGACAGGCTCGGGGCATCCCAGCGTTATCCACATGGGGGTGCACTGAATGTCTCTCATACTGTTGTGTTCTGATTTCCTCAGCAGTTGGGACCCCAGAATCTTAGCCTGGTTTTGTAAACCAGGCTTGGGTGGGATGGTTCTAGAAGGATGAGCTGGGTCAGCCCCTCACTGCAGATACATAGGCCCAGGTAGGTTTTTCAAAACAGGAGATGCAACCAGCAATGGGCACCAGGCAGCCCTGGGGAGGAGGGGGTAAGAGAGCGGAGGAGCCTCCGGCCTGCCCTCTGGTCTTAGAGTGAAGGAAGGGTGGACTCTGCCCTGGATCTGCCAGCGCCAGCAGGGCCGAGTAAAGGAAGAGAGCAGAGGCCACTTGGGAGCCAGCAGGGTGGTGGGAGAGGGGAGAGCAGGTGGTGAGGGCTCAGGTGCCTTGTGGGAGCAGCAGGCCAGGTGTGAGCCCCTCTGGGTGTCCTGTCTGCAGCGTCCTGCCTGCCAGTGCTGAGCAGCTGATGCCCAGGGAATTGGAGACTCTGGCTCTGAGGAAGCCTCGCCCAGAATGTGGCAGAGCCATCACAGGACGTTTGCAGCCAGGGACCCTGGGTCCTTCCAACTGGTCTTTCTGTGTGGCGGAGGTGGGGGGGGTGGTCATAGTTCCTGCCTGTTTCCATCGCTAGTTGGTTTTCTCATGCCAGCAGTTTTATGTGAAACACCTGCATTCACATCGCCAAGATAAGTAATGTGACATCTGGAGGCGATATATGACATTTAAATAAGATTGAGTCTTACAATCCATAAATATGGC